AGTCACTCTAACTGCATTAGCTACTAAGTTCTGAAGGCAGTGCATTAGTTAAGAACCCAGGAGAACCCAGTACCAGCCTCACCCACCCTCTGCCTCCTGGGAGACATGCGGACTCAGTGGGACTGCACAGAGGACAGGTCCACAAAGGCAGTGTGCAAGGACACTTCCCACTCAGTGCATAATAAAAGTGAATTCCAACCACCCGGCCTCTGCCCAGACAGGATCCTCTCCGTGGAAATTCTGAACAACCTCAAAGTACACAGCAATCATTTTGTTACCTGAAATTTTTTCCCTTCTCTCTCCCAAGGTGATGAAGGAGGCTGCTGATGGTTCACAGACATTGACTAATGATGCGTACAATGATTTAGGCATGAGGACATTTGCTGATGCTATTACAGCAGAAAAGTGGAAACAACCCAAAGGCCCAACAACAGATGGCTTAAATACCGTATGGCCCACCCATCCAATAGACAAGCATGCATCTTTTTAAATCCCGCTGTCAAAGGGTAGATGGAATGACATTCATGGCACAATGGTAAAGAAAAAGAAAGCAAGTTACAGAAGCAGCATGCTGTCCACACAATGAGGGAAATTTTCCAAAACTCTGTGGACAACAATTACAACTGGTGGAACTATGAACTGATTTTTTACTTTCCTCTTTTTTGCTTATATGTATTTTCCAATTTTCCTACAGAAATCACATTGCTTTTGAAATAAAGTGGGGAATAATAAACGGCTCTTTTTGTTAGTGAGCAAGAAATAGGAAAAACCCTTTACTCGAGGCTGCTCCCACGAGTGGGTTGAAGGCAGCCTGAAGCCTGCAGCCCCGTGAAGACTACCTAGGCTATGGGCTGAAGCTGCCTGGGACCACAGTCTCCTTGAGATAAGCTATCAAAAGGCAGGCCAGGCTGGCCAGCCTCTCCTCCCCGGGGCTGTGGGCCACTGCAGCCACGGAAGGAAAGGAAAGCTGCAGAACCGAGGGCTCTCCCAGCTGCTGTAGCCCTCTCATGTGAGGCAGCCCTGTCTCCCTTTCTGGGCTGCAGCTGAAGGTTTGCAGACGGCTCCCTTTCCAGCCCGCAAGAGGAGACAGGCAGATGAGTCATCACACCAGCTCAGATTAAAGTGGCCTGATTGTGTTAGCAGAAATGGATCTATTTTATTATCTGTTTCTTGACACCTTACAAATAGATATGCATTTCCCACCAGAAAAGCGATTTCCTTAAAAAGCCAATGATTCTGTTTGCTGAAGTTAGGAAATGACCAATGAGCGTTAGAAACCTGTGAGTTTGAAGAGCTGCCAGGCTGAAAAGATGTAGTGGAAACATTGAAGAAGGTGGCCGATCAGCCTCAGACTCCAGATTCAAGTCTGCAAAGTGATGCCATTCTCCTAAAAATACCCAGAGGAACTCCACAGGCCCATTCCCCTCTTACTTTTCTAAGAGCTTTTTTTTCCTCCCCCAAGAAAAATAGCAGCATGGGCTTGCAAAGGGGCTTTGTGCTGCCAGGTTCACTCTGCTCTGGGGTAAGGGCCACTGGGGCACTGCTATAAGGACTTCCTTCTCTCCCAAAGAATTTTCCACACGGTGTGCTCCGCCAACACTCTCATGAAACAGGCATGCCTGCCAGCAGCTGTTTCCTTTTGTCTTGTTGTCCCACGACAACAGATTGTACATCAAGGGAAATTGGAATGGAGACATTTAGTTTGGATCGCTCCTCTCCATTGTTTAATTCCACATCCAATCTTTCATTTCTGCGTCCGCCTCTTTTTGCAGAAATATAGCATGAGTGTGAACACAGGAACATCTTACCCAAAAATGTGCAGACATTTCGGGGCATTCTGATCAGTTCTTCCTCCTCCTCACCCCACAAGCGCTGACCCAGGGACCAAAATAACTTGGAGTTCAGTACAGTCCCCAGCCTGACGGCCAACAGGCATCCTGAACACACTTCCCAGGCCTGATGCTTGCTGCTGACCACTTTCCATGTACAAGCGCTGCCCTGTGTAATGGCTGCAGGTAAATGTGTCTGTAAACCCCACACGCACAACCCAGACCACCTGCCCACTGAACACTACCCAAAATAAAATAAAAATAAAAAAGGCTCCCACCAAGGGCAAGGGAAGGAGGCCGGAGACCACGGAGAAGGTGTCACGTTCCTGCTCCTGAAACTTTAGGGGAAGCTTTTCCAACCAGCACAATGGGCCGTGAGATGATTGTCCTTGTTCTTCAGTAGATCAGCAAAGCAACTGCAGTGAACTTTTTTTTTGGTACCGGGGTTCGAACTCAGGTCCTTGCACTTTTGGGGGCAGGCGGCAGCACCACTGAGCTAAATCCCTGGCCCTTCAGTGAACTTTTAATGTGATCCCAGCTATTTGTTTTCTGAGTATGAACTTGTATCCAATTTCTGCCATTATTTTTTCTTTTCATTTAAAAAGCAATGTTAACGTACTTTGTTTTTCTACACAGGATCCTTCAGATCAAAGAATGCATGTTTTTTCTGGTTATCAAAGATCAACTGTGTGCCAGGCATGAAGTAATAGTTTCCAGGCTTCCTCACTTCAACTCCTCCTTCTCGGGCACCCTGTGAAGACACTGCCACCCACGGCACACACCGGGCAGGGCTGTTGGGGCCTTGCATCCCACTCCAACTTCTGTCACTGACGTCCCTGAATGTGGCCATCCAGAAACTGAAAACACACAATGGGGTTGCACGTGCACCCCTCAAGCCCACACCTCCTCTAACGAGGGGAGATGGGAAGCTGAGACTCAGTCCTGAAGCTGGACCCACCAGTCACAACCCTGAGGCCAGCCTGGCCCTGAGGTCAGGGCAGCTACCGACTCTCCGAGGCTCACATCCATGAAATGGGCCTCCCAGCGGGTCGGATTCTACAAAACTGTCACCAGTCAACCATTTTTGACTTCCACAAAGCGTTTTCAAATGGTTCCACCTAAATTCATCACTCATTCATGGTTGTACCCAGTGTACAGTAGAGACAGGAAGCACTGGGGTGAAACTGAAGCCTTTCTGTGATTTCTCTTCCTGATTTCTTCTTGCTCTTGCTCAGGTCAGTAGTTTGAAATCTCTGCTTGCTGCCTGTCACCCAGGGAGACAAAACCTGCGCTCTGAGGACAGAGATTGAACAAAGACTGCCCACTCATCCTCTCCACCCCAGCTGTTTGGTCTCTTAATTAGCAAATATAAAGCAATTGGTAAATACACTTACAAACGCTGGAGTTTGTTTGAGGCACACGCCTGCAATCCCAGAGCTAGGGAGGCCGAGGTAGGAGAATCGCGCGGTGAGTTTGAGCCCAGCCTGGGCAACATAATGAGACCCTGTCTCACAAAAAGGTCAAAAGAAAGAACGAAATTAAAAAGTGGGAGGGGCCTACTGAGGATGCTTAGCACCACGAAAGGTTTCAAAAGCAACTGCTAGGCGGGCACACCTTAATCCCAGCATCCTGGAAGGATGAGGCAGGAGGGTCATACCGCCTGGGCAATTTAGTGACTTAGACCGCATCTCAAGATAAAAACTAAGGGCTGGGGATGGAGCTCAGTGTGAAGACCCCCATTCAACCCCCAGCACCGAATAATAACAAGAAGAATAAACAACAATAAGAATAAAAGTAATTCCTGCCAGTCGAGCCTGATCAACAGGGCGAGCCCGGGCGGGATCCCCGGTTGGAACCCGCCCCGCCCGTGCCTCCAGGAGGCCGAAGCAGCGCGCCCTTCCTGGCTCCCGGCCAGGCGCCACCCCCACCCCCACCCCGCAGGACCTGTTTGCTCCCGCGACTCTGCGTGGGGTCAAGGCTTTCCCCGCCCCTCGACCCCGGTACCCCGAGAGGACGCACGCTCAGGGCGCCCGGGACTCTACCGGGCGCCCAGAACTCTGCACTCTCAGGACCTCCCCTTGCACCGAAGTCCAGAGAACTTGGCCACGCCGCCGCGCAGGGCCCGGGCGGCCCGGGGGCCGCACAACCTCCGGGCGGGGCAGAGCGCAGGGGGGCGGGAGCGGCGCCGCCCGGTACTTAACCCCCGGCGCCTGCCTCCTTCCTCCTCCCTCCTTCCCCGCCGCGCGAGCCGCCCCCTGGCGCCGGCCGCCGCCGCCGCCCGCCCGGTTGCCCGGCCCGCGCACTGCCCAAGCCGGCGCGCAGGCACGGACGGCGGGCGGCGCAGCATGGACTCGGACTCCGGGGGGGGGGGGGAGGCCGAGGCAGGACGGCGCGCGGCTCGGGCTGCCGGGCGCGGGCGTGGGGGCGGGGAGGCCTCGCTGCTGCAGACCGCGGCGCTGTCCGCCCCGGGAGAACTTTCCGCGCGGGAGCGGGGATCCGGGGCGCAGAGGCCCTGGCGGCTCTGCGGGCGCGATCGTCCCGGGAGCTGGAGGAGAGGGCACCCTCCTGCCCCGGCGGCCGCTGTCCACCGAGGATGCCACCCACCCCCACCCCACCCGCGGGTGGCCTTGGCCCGTCGCCGCCACCTGCATTCGGGTTCGGGTCGCGCACCCGGGACCGCGGGACAGCGGCACCGAGTCCAGGGGCCTGGGGCACCGGGCGGGGGAGCCCTGCGTGTCCCCCGCTCCGCGTGGGGAGAGCAGGGCTGGGGCGGCAAGGGCCACAGTGCGGGGCTCCGCCGAGCCGGGCCACTCGCCGCGCGTGGGCGTAGGTGCGAGGGGCCCAGCCTCCCCGCCTCCAGCCTGGGACCTGCGTGGAGTGGGTTTGCCGCGCAGGTGGCCGAGACCCGGAGTTCGGGGCCTAGCATCTGAGGGGCGTCTGTGTATTCAGACTCGGAGCCCACTGGCCAGGGTTCATGGTCCCCTAAGGCGGGACCAAGCTGCTCCCCTGCCCTGCTTCTCCACCCCACCCTCAGTCTCCCTGCCGCCGCCGGCAGGAAAGGGGCGTCTTCTCCCCATCAGCCTGCCAGGGAACCCCGAGAACCCCTCGGGTGGGGAGCGGAGACCACCGCGCCCCAACAGCGGCGGGCAGCCCGCCCTCCCGAGCACTCACGTTGCTTTGCACCTACAGCCTCTGCTTCTTCCGTGCTTGAATCCTGCGAATGGAGCAGTTATTCTAGCGAATGTCCTGCTGCTCTGCTGGAGGAATTTGGTCTCGCCTGGTGTGTTAGTCCTGTTCTGCAGAACGGGCTGCCCTGCCCGTCTCCACCGGGCTTCTGGCCTCCTGTCAAATGGAATCTCTTGGTCATTCAGGTGCAGATCAAGTGACAGGTGTGTTAGCGGAGGGGTTGACCTGTGTCCCTGCAGGAACCTGGCCTCTGTATCTCTCAGGTGAACAGGTCTGTGACTGGGGCAGGCCCAGAGTGATTGTGAACACATGTGTGCTGCACGCCCCTACCTGGTGGGAAGCTGCGATGCCAGATCCGCTGTCTCTAAAGCTAAGCAAAAGCCAGGAGTTGGGCCTTTCTATTTTAAGAGACCGAACTCTGGGATTGGAAAGACCTTAGCTTCAGTCTCCACCTGATGGACAAGGGAATTAACATCCCCAACCTCAGTTTCCCTGTAAAACGGGGTGGAGGTAGTACTACGGGGGCTTATGAGGGTGAAATAGCACGTGAAAAGTGAATTTAGTCAAAATTCAATACATGGGAATTGTTGTTTTAGCTATCATTAGCTCAGATTATTTGTGAGAATACTAAATAACAGACCCAGGGCTTTGTCAAATAGGAAGCGCTGAGCCTGTGTGAGACAGTGTCACTGCCATTGTTAGCACCTTCGTGATTCCCGCAGGGACCTGTTTTTAATCTTCTCCTCAGTGGGAGTGGAGTGCGCTGTGTATGGCGAGGAGTTTCCACACCTTTCTCGTTTTCCGGCCTCGGGGAAGGGTGGGGCCGCAGGAGAACAGTATAGAGCCCAGAATACCTTACTCCCCTCCTGCCCACCTGCACCTGGGACAGGTTCCTCCTCCCAGAGGGGCTGCCTTCCTCCTTTGCCCTTCTGCCCTGTCAGCTCTCTGCAGAAGGCGGGGCCCTCTCACGGACCGCTCACTTCTTACCGCACCTCCTTCATCCTGAGATCTCCCCTCCGCAAAGCGCATATCTCACAGAACCCTGCAGTAGAGGAGGGCTGCGGGGCAGCAGCTAGTGATGGGGTCTGGGCCGATGTGCATGGTTTTGTGTTCTAGGAAGCACGGGGTGAGGCTTCTGTGACTCCTTCCTGCAGCCCCCTGGTCTCTCCATCATCTTCTGGTTCTCTCTTCGATTAGCTAAGAGGCGGGGCTTGTGGAACCCTGGACTCATTCCAGAGACCCAACTTGGGAAGCTTCCCTTTGGCAAACCCTCGATCCATCCATCTCCCAGAAATCCTGGAGCTTGGCATTTTAACTCGAGAGTGATTGAGGGCCTGTCCTAAGGAGCAACAGGAGAGCGAACGATGTCAGCATTTGCCTCCTGGCTTGGGACACCCAGCACAGCCTCCCCAGCTGAGGGCAAGCAAGCGTCTGGCAGGGCGAGGGTCGGGTAGTTGAGATGATGGGCATCCCGGAGCTGAGCCTGGGGAGGGGCCGCAGAACAGGATTTCCACCCCATGGTCTGTGTGTGCCAGGGGACCCCAGGAGAGCAGAACTGGAGAGGTGGCAGACCTCTAACTCTGCCCTTCCTGTCCCGAGTCCTCGGCTCCCCGTGTAGACAAAGGGACGAGAAGCGGGTAGAGTCAATAAGTGGTCACGAGGAGGGTGAGTTCAGAATCAGACCTGGGTTGGGCAAAGGCACGGGGGTGGGGGGTGGGGGTGTCCTGGGAAACAGAACACGGTGAGTGTAGGGGAGCCAAGGTCAAGAAGGTCTTAAAAACTTGGGGAGCCCCCAGGATGGTTGTGCAGGATGGACACACCCAGGGGAGCACTAGGTTTTCTGATGCTTCCCCAGGCAGCGATGGAGCATGCCGGGGACCCCAGAGGGTGGTAGCGCTGAGGCAGAAGAGGGAAGGTACGAATGGCATTTCAGAGAAATCAACACCAGAAGCTGGTGGCAGATTGCAGAAAGCAAGGGGAGGAGAAGGAGAGCGGAAGGAGACAGCGGCATGTGGAGTTGGGTGAGTGCGGCCGAGGGAAGATGCCCAGGAGGCCGAGGAGAGAGGCCACACAGTGCTGGCCCTCAGGAGCGTCCTTGGCAGCGATGTTCTGGTTCAGGGTCTTTTCCTCTTAGTGGGCTGCGGGTGCGCAGGCTTTGAGGGGTTGTGAGTTAGGGCTGCTGGTTCCCAGGGATGGGCTGTTGAGTAATCCTTGCAGACAGATTGATGCTGGTGGACGGCCCGGGCGAGGGCGGAGCCTGCCTGGGGGTGAGGCGCCACCTGGCTAGAAGTCACCTTCCCACTTCTGGTTCCTGTTGTTGACACGTGCACTGTCTGCCTCAGCCACGCCACACCGCAGCGGTGTTGACAGCCCGGAGCGCGTCTGGTGCTTCTCCAAGGTTTTCCTGGGCGTGGGGGATGAGCGCACACCTGGAGGGGCCCCGGGAGCCCTTGGCACCGAAGCTTGGCAGCCGGAAACTCCCCCTCTAGAGCTGAACCGCCAAAGCTTTCCTTCCGCAGCACATTGCATTTGAGGATTTCTCCCACTGCCCTAGGCATGGTCAGGAATTGTGGAAATGGAAAGAGAGGCGAGAACGCAGCCCATTCTGTCCTCCAGGCTCTACATTGTGGGGGAGGAAGGGCACGGACCCTCGGTCACGGCAGCAGGAGCTGACCTCCCTGCTACACTTCCAGCCTGGGTGGTCCCTCTCCACACATTCTCCCTTGGCACGGACATTACCACTTGTATTGGATGGTTATTCCAGGGCTGGGCTGTTGTCATCTCCCTGAGGGCCAGTCTGGGTCTCTCCAGTCTGTGTCACCCCCGTCCCCAAGGGCAGGCCCAGGGGGGCTGAGGCAGGCTCACTCCACTGCGTAGTAGGTGCTGTCACAGGTTGGGTCCCCTGGAGGCAGACTCTGAGGTGGCAGTCAGCGCCCACAAGGTTTGCTTAGGACTTCTCTTGGACCAGTACCCAAGGAAGGAGAGGGACACAAAGGCACTGCACCAGGCAGAAGGAGAAGCTGAGCTGCAGGGCGACCCAGCCACCGCCTGGCCAAGCCCACGGGGCACTCAGAATGGGTGTGCCCCTTCGGATGCTCCAAGTACAGCGAGGGCATGGTGAGCAAGCAGCTGCTGGCGCAGGCCTCAGATGAGTGGCTGCTCGCCCCTGGAGGAAGCCCTTCCTTCCTTCCCGAAGCCATGTGGTAGCAGCCACCACAAAGGGCCTACACAGGGACAGCAACCATGTCTGCCTCCTGGCAGAGCGCAGAGGGTAGCTAAAGAATTTTAAATGGGAAAGTGGAGACTGCCAGGTTAAAGAAGCCTTTCTTGACCAAAGACTCCATCCCAACAGATAAGGGGACAACAGTTGACCTGCGTCCAGAAAGGCACTCAGTAGAAATGGATTTAGGTGTTTGTAGCCATGTTGGGGAGAGGAAAACTCCCACCCGAACTGAATCTGTAAGATCGGGCAGCGCGGCAGTAGCAGTGTGAGGTGGCTTGCAGTTCTCGGGCGAAGCCTTCAGAAGGAGACAGTGTGTGTGAGCAGGTACATATGAAGTTGTCTTCCCCATGTTCTTTTTCTTTAAAAACAAAAAAAACCCTGTGCTTTCATTTGTCAGCCAAACTGTAGTCACACTTTCTGTTAACACTTTTCTCTAACGGGTTCCTTTCCCGCCGGTTGCCATTGGCTCCCATTCGAATCCACTTGTAAATCTCTATAAAGACACTACACAAATAATTTTGTTTTGTTTTTCAGTCTTTCGGCTTCCAAATCTTTATGCAAAATGCCTGTGTAGGTGGGTGTTTGGGCTATAGTCTGTAAGTGTAGAAATAAAAAGATAGGGCTGGAGGTACAGCTCAGTGGTAGAGCACTTGCCAGGCATGTATGAGGCCCTGGGTTCAAGCCCCTCAGCACCAGACACAAGAAAGAAAGGAGGGAGGGAGGGAAAAGAAAAGAAGGAAAGAAAGAAAAGGATAGAGAAGTACAATTTATAAAATAACTTTCCTCTAACAACTCCCTCAAAAAAAGTAAGTGGAGTGAATACCCTCCCCTACCCCCATATTAAGGCATAAAAATGCATTTTTTTCACATTAGAAATGTTCTTTTTGGGCAACTGCATGGCACACATTCTGTGCTACTTTAGAACAATCTTCACGTTCATATTGGGTTTCCCAAGCACCATTTCCTGGGGATAAATTTGAGCTGAGCCTGTGCACGGAAAATTCACCAGTATGCAGACTATAAAACTGGAAGGCTTGGCAGCACGGAGAGTACTGGACACACCCTAATAGAAACCAGGATTCTGTAATTTAGTACTCCAGGGGAAAAGGAGACACTTTGATGGTGTCCAATACTGCTGTAAACTGTGGAGAAACCACAGGACAGCCCTGGCTGCTAGGTTCTGTTTCAGAAGTAAAATACGCTTTCTGTGAATGGCTGTTGTTCTGACAGGAAGCATTTAGCAATATTTAGGTATGCGGAGGCCCCCTTGTATTTATTTATTTTTTTTACTTGAGTATTGGGGTTTGAACCCAGGGCCTTTATATTGAGGCTATATCCCTACCCTTTTTTTTTTTTTTTTTTGGTACCAGGGATCAAACTCCAGTCCTTACGCTTGCGCAGCAGGCAATGAAACCACTGAGCTAAATCCCCGGCCCCCCTTATTTTTATTTTGAGACAGGATCTTGCTAAGTTGCACTCTAAATTGCAGCTCTCCAGCCTCAGCCTCCCAGTGTGCTGGAATTACAGATCTGCACTACCATGTGTGGCTCCAGTTTATATTTTTATAGTAGAAGCAGGCAGGAAATGCTGAAAAGTGCTGATGCTGGTGAACACGTATGTCCCATGTTCCTGATTTGGGGCCCTTGGGCTCTGCTGGTGAGGTAAACAAAGAAGAACAGAATGGAGGAGGGAGATAACCAGGCGTGGTGGCACACATCTGTAATCCCAGCACTCCAGAGGCTGAGCCAGGAGGATCCTGAGTTTGGGGCCAGCCTGGGCTACATAGCAAGTTGGTGAGCCTGGACTACATATCAAGCCTTGTCTCAAAACAAAACAAAAAGAGGAGGGAAGCTGATGGGTCCATCTGCAGCAGCTATTTCCTTGGTTTCCTGGGATAAGATTGAGGAAGTGAGGGAGAAAGGCTGGGATCAGGTGAAGAACAAGAGAAACGGATTTTAAGAATTGTGGCAAACAAGAAGAGAAACCATGGGGGTGACTTTTGCCGGCCAGAGTCCCACCCCAGAGAGCTGGTACCAAATGTAAAATCGCAGTGACGTTTCACATGTTTACATGTGCAGTGTCTTAGGGGCTCACTTAACTACTTCTGTGGTGTTTAACCCTCGACGCCAGCTCTGGGCTATGTCTATAAAGAGCCCCATTTTCCGGAGCAGAAAACAGAGGCACGGGGGTTCAGAGACCGACTCAGGGCCGCAAGGCTTGCCAGTGGCACGCGGCGGGTGCTCGCCCAGGGATCCCCCTTATAGATCCGCGCACGCCACCAGTGGCTTTGCACCCTCGCCCGGCCCCTGCTCCCCACGTCTGTGCCAAAGCGCCACCCACTGGCCCACCTCGGTTACTTAGGGCTTTGGAGCTCCGAGGGGACCCAGTGGGGGCTGAAAAACTGCTGCTGGGTGGCCTGGGCCCAGAACGGGCCTCTGAAGATGGTGTGGAAGTATCTTAGTCCATTCCCTGTTGCTGTCGCCGAATACCTGAAACTGGTTTATTTATAAAACAAAGGTGTTTCTTTGGGGCACAGTTCTAGAGGCTGGGAAGGCCAACATCTGGGGCTCTGTGGTGGCGTGGAAGCGCAGGCAGCCGTGTGGGGGAGAGACGAGCAGGAGGGGCAGCCCACGCATACCCACCCGCTCACGTGGCATTCCTCCAGTACTGGGAGGGTGCATTAGGGTGTCCCACGACCCCCCGCCTCCTAAGGGACCCCCCAAGACCGCTACATTGCAACTGAGGTTCAGAAGAGCTTGGGAGGGGCCAACTGCATCTGCCCACAGCGAGCAGGAAGAAGGGGGTTTGGCTCTAGGTGCAGAGCCAGGGGACTGGGCGTGGGTTTCCAGCACTGACTCGGTTGCTGCTCTTAGGAACGTTATTTCTGACTGCCGGAAATAACGTGCGGGACCCTGAAAACAGGAGCCAAAGGAGACTGGACTAATCGGAGCACAGAGGGGTTCTCCAGAGGGAAGCGTCCTGGGCGGCTGAAAAGATAGGAGGGTTCACTCGAGGAGAGAGACGCTGCAAGGAGACAGGGGTCCCTCGTCTGAAATGCTGACCCCAGGGTGCTAAAGCATCCGTCCACACTGCCAGACAGTGTCAGAACCAGAAGAGGGGCTGGATCTGTTCTCCTCCAGCCTTTTCCCAAAACAGATGTAACTGGTTGAAAATCAGTTATTCCAAGGAAAGTTCTATTAAAATTGTTTCAGTTTGAATATAGAATAGTTTTTAAATTATGGCTTATTTCAAAAGATTCTGAGTTAAATTCAAATGTCTGCCAATACCTTTCAAACTAAGGTAATACAGACAAAATATTCTGATCAAATGGCTTAGAGAAATTTCTGGAATATTCACATTCGAAGATTCCTTATTAATGAGTGTTTTCTACTTAAATCTAACCCAAAACGGCAACATTATTCTTTGTACATTTTCATTATATAGTGTTAACAAGCTCAGTTGCAAACAAGTAAAATACTTAAGCTAAAAAAAAAAAAAATCAGTTATTCCAGGTACTGAGATGTCAAAAGGTCCCTGCTTGTTTTCAGGCTGCACCTTCTGCTGTGTTCTTGGCCCTCTGCCCCCTCCTCTCCTTTCCTCTTTTGGTTCCTCCATCCTGGGCACCTTGGCCACAGCCTCGCCCGCCTGGGCCCAGCAGCCTTCCCTGCCCCAGGGCCAGGCCAGGGGCCCTCAGACCTTGAGTTTTAACAAAACTCCAGGGGCATCCAGCAGGCTTTACGGTGCCCACTGACGACAGCAAAGGTTAATTTACTCTGAGCTCTTAATAGATCCTAGCAC